GACGCCTGCCTTTCACAGCGGCGCAGCCGCGGTCTCCGCCCAGACTTCCGGGCGGTACCATCGATGCTCCGGGCGGGGGAAGGGAAGCCTCGGGACACTTGGTCCTTCGGAATTTTTCCCGCTGGTGCTGTCTTACTTTTTTTTAGACTCTTGAAGTTTCACATAGATACTCATGCTTCTTCCGTTCTCCATGAAGCTCTCGCTTTTGACTCTGACCTGCTTGGCTTCTTTTCCGCTTTCTTTCCCCATAGCTATGCAATGGTGCGGCCCGGCCGCAGGTTGGGCACCATATTTGGACTAAGCGAGGCGGAGGAGACCTTCGTTCTTTCCGGTTCTGCGCCCCCATCCTTTCTCCGGCCCCTCCTACCGCCGGCCCCAGGGGCTCGGCGGGACTAACCGTCAGACTGAAAACCCGGCCGCCGAGCCCCGCCCTCCAGCCCGGCTGATCCCTAGGGTAGACCCGAGGCGCACCCCTCACCCTGGCAGTGGGCTCGCGGGCGGCCAGCAAGTCCTCCCCGCTGGCCACCGAGGGCTCGCCCTTCCGTGTCACCGCCCCCGCGTCAACTGCAGGGCCCGCTCTCAGCCAGTTCCGGGTGGTTGATACACCAACCGGAACTCCCCGCCCCCTGTCGCGACCCGGTGGTCGTAGGTGGCTGGGGTGAGGAGGTGGAGGGGGCGGGGGCCGCGTTAGGGGGTCCCGAGAGGACGGGGACCCTGAAGGCGGGGTATTGGGGCGACCCAAGTTGGGGGGACACCAGCCTTTAAGCAGTCCCACTTCTGTGCCAGTCACTGAACTGGGCTCTTGACGAGCATCATCTCTTAATCCTCAGAACATCCCGGGGAGGTAGGTACTGTTGTTATCCCCATTTTACAGATTCAGGCTTCTTAGGAGGAAACAGACCCAGACTTCTTTCGTCCCCATTTTACAGATGGAAAAACCGAGACTCAGGAAGGTTAAATAACATTATCAGTCACATAAATAGAGAATGGTAAAGCCTGGTCTTGGACCCTGGTATGTCTGGCTTACCAGCCACATTCTTAACCATTATCAGGGAGGGGCAAATGTGGGGATGGGCGAGACAAGACGAGGCTGGGAGGCGAATGAACACATTGTAAGAATGGGATGCTTGGAACTCAGAGGCTTAGTTAGCAGAACCCAGGAGGAGTAGAACAAAAGGGAAGAGCATCGGGAAGACAGGGCATAGCACATCATGGTGGTGAGGCGCACAGATGCACAACCACCTGCATTCAAATTGCATTTTGGTAAGTTTGGGCATGTAACCCCCCTTACAGAGTCTCAGTTTCCTTATTTGTAAAATGGAGATCACATGGTTCCTGTTCAAGGGGTTGGAATTCAGTGAGAAGCTGGTAAAATGCCCTGTGCTTGGTGCACAGTAGGTGGTCTGTGAGTAGAAACTGTGCCATCAACCTGTCAAAAGGGTACTGAAGCCTGGTTTTCTCCTTAACACTCGCACACGATGGAGAGAGCCCTTGGGCTTTTCTTGTGCCGTTCCATCTACCATCAATGGCCCTCTCCTCTCCAGCTCCCTAGGGTCCTGTATCCTAGGCCATGAGTGAACTGAAGGACTGCCCCTTGCAGTTCCATGACTTCAAGTCTGTGGACCACCTGAAAGTTTGTCCACGCTACACGGCAGTGCTGGCCCGCTCTGAGGACGATGGCATCGGCATCGAGGAGCTGGACACTCTGCAGCTGGAACTTGAGACCCTGCTTTCCTCTGCCAGCCGGCGCCTGCGAGTGTTGGAGGCTGAAACCCAGGTGATACCCTACAGAGGGGACATCACCAGGGATGGACTGTGACAAGTTATGGGTGGGTCATTCAGTTAGCCCCATCTGCTAAAGCCTGGGGCACAGGAGGTTGGAGGGGGAGGGAGAGACCCAAATTGGGCTTGTGTGATATGCAGGAACGTGGGTAATCCTCATAAATTGCAAAATTTTTAATTCAAGCATTTATTGACACACACACACACACACACCACCATTATGTTGTGGGTACTATGCAAATCATTAGAGAGAGGTAATTAGGACAATTCTGGCTTTCAGGGAGTTTGCCAACTAAAAGGAGGGTGGGTGCAGACAAGTACCAGGTGATGTGTTATGGATAGGGGTACCGCTAGTACCCTTAACCATGGAATGAGGAAACCTGCTTTTGAATCTTGGCCTAAGCACTTGCTAGTGTTGCTGTTTTCAGCTATGTGACTTTGGGAAAGTTACATTCTATTTCTGAGCATCAGTTCTCTATTTGTAAACCGAGCTGAAAAATAGCACCTATCTCAGAGTTTTTGTGAGGATTAAGAGATTTTTTTTGGCAAAGGCTCAACCTAATGTTATAAGTGAAGGTTTGCTGGGAGGCTTACTTGTCTTCACCGAAAAGTCACCACCAGCATATTTTCCCAGAGCTAACATGTACTGGGGTTGTTTTTTTGGCCTTTCTGCTAAGTACTACAGAAGTGCATCAGAGTACAGACAAATGAATGGAATGGTAAGTATATGAATAAAATCCTGAGAGAGGTACAGAAAAGTTTGAAGGATGAATAGGAGTTTACTAAATAAAAGGGGGATGGGGAAAGACCTTGGTGTCTCCTCAAGTTCTAGATCCTAGTTCTTTACTGGGAAAAGAGTTGTCCTGTGTCTTCCCTTCTCCCCCTCAGTGTCAGTCTCTGAATTGCAGATCCTCACTGACTGGCAGGATAAGAAAGGTGACCGACGATTCCTGAAGCTGGGTCGAGACCATGAGCTTGGGGCTCCCCCCAAACATGGGAAGCCCAAGAAGCAGAAACTGGAAGGGAAGGCAGGACATGGACCGGGCCCTGGCCCCGGGCGACCCAAATCCAAAAACCTTCAGCCCAAGATCCAGGAATATGAATTCACTGATGACCCAATTGATGTGCCACGGATCCCCAAGAATGATGCCCCCAACAGGTTCTGGGCCAGAGAACATAGAGGGGCATTGGGATTCGGGAAGTGGAGACTGTGGAGAAGCCCTGGGCTGAGGCTTGTGGGGCAAGGGTGCCCACTGAGGATCTGTTTCTCCCTGCAGGTTCTGGGCTTCAGTGGAGCCCTACTGTGCTGACATCACTAATGAGGAGGTGCGCACGCTAGAGGAGCTGCTGAAACCCCCAGAAGATGAGGCTGAACATTACAAGGTAGAAACTCTGAGCCTCAACAGACAAGGTAGAAAACAAGAGGGTTCAGAGGTGCCTCAGCATTAAAGCTCCCAAAGCCATATATCATCTTCCTTTCCCTACCCTGCCCAGTCTCCTGTCTGCCCCATTATCCCACTCAGACATCCAATCTCTCATCTTTCTCCCTGCATTGTCTCCCTTCTATCCCACCCAGATGGTTACTATCAAATTCAGTGAGGCTTTCTCTTGTTTGCACATCTCCATCCCCTCTGTTTTGGTTCAAGACTTCCATCAGCTTTCACCCAAACAGGTTCTTAATACTTCCTGCCTCCAAAGGGGCCTTTTTTCCTATAAAATGTAAAAGTTTATTTTTTGATGATGAAAATAAAACAGATTCCATTAAAGAAAGTGTAGAAAATAGAAGTGTTGGGGGAACTCTCCCATAGGTCCACTGTCATGCTCAGATGCGACACGACCCTGCTCCCAGTCTTCTGGCTCTCATTACCCACAGGATCGAGTCCAAGTGTCTCAGTCCTTGGTGGCACAGCCCCAGCGCCCCTCTCCAGTTTCCTTGGCCATGCTCCCTCTTCATTGCTGCATTCACCAGCCCCACCAAGCACCTTACCCTTACTCCTGACCCCCACAGGATCCTTGCTGGGCTCTGGGCCTCTGCACTTGCTCTCCTCCTCTCGGCACACTGATTCACCGTTCAAACCCTGACTTCATGTTACCTTCACCAAAACTCCTTTGCAGATTCCCCAGCAGAAAGTTGGTCTCTTTTGAGGGCTGCCACAGGACTTTGATCTACCTCTGTCACGTCACTTGTCTGAATTTTTTAAAAATGTATTTGAAAAAGTAATCCATATAGGCAGTAATAAATTCAAGCAATACAAAAGAGAATTCCTTCTCCTGACCCTAAAGTCTCTCCTACAGATCCCGCCGCTGGGAAAGCACTACTCCCAACGCTGGGCACAGGAGGACCTGCTGGAGGAGCAGAAGGACGGCGCCCGGGCAGCAGCTGTGGCTGACAAGAAGAAAGGCCTCATGGGGCCACTGACCGAACTGGACACTAAAGGTAGGCCCCTCACCTCGCTGCCTATCCCAGGCTAGGACTTGAGTTCCCAGAACTTCAGCCCAGTTACCCACCACTTCTCTGCCTGCTTCAGATGTGGATGCCCTGCTGAAAAAGTCTGAGGCCCAGCATGAGCAGCCTGAAGATGGATGCCCATTTGGTGCCCTGACACAGCGCCTCC